CTTTTATTGAGTGCAAGGTGCTTTATGATCAAAATAGCGGTTGTTGTGTGTACGCGCATTCAGTAAAAATCGCCGATGGCCGCATCTGGAAGACTTTTGCTTAAATCAAAGTCATAGTGACTATACACAAGAATAATGGCGGCCATTAAATCACTTCACACACTAAAATATTTAAATATAACCGGATTTACTGGCTATATTCAATATATACAAATTTATAAAGTTTTATAACATCTTTCGCGAATTATATTTACTTTAGCTACTAATATCGGTTATTGGTGATTTTGTACTAAGTTGCATCAATTGAGAAAAAAATAAGACAACCCTAAATACTAATCGCGACGATGATCAAAGTTGATCAGCCAATTTCTAAATGGGCTGATCGTCTTTGAACAACTAAATTTCTTTAATTTATACCTAAGAAGTGTTCGATAGTGATCGATACAGTCATTTAAAAAATACGATGTAGATAATCATGAGATAATATTTTAGAAACTATGATATCACAGAGGTTTGTTCCACTATGTTCACCTGGGTGATATGGGTGACGCAGCATTAAATCAGAATTTATAATAGAACTAATAACATAGGTATGAATAAAATTAACTTTTAATAATTCATAGTAGTCTGTGAATTAAAATTCACTACATTTGGTATGGTACAAACTGATTTTTACACTAAGGATTCTGATTTTGTGATTTTCTACATTTCATTAAATAATAGTTAGTAGTTTAACCATATAACATGTACTGTACATACATTTCTAAGAACTGTACTTATGTTTACAAATATAAAAACTTTTACTGACTAGTTTTTAACTCCTGATTAAAAACAGTTTATTACACTAGCGGTTCCCTAGGTTACTAGAATTAACCTGTGTTTATTGTATAGTAGGCCAAACCTGCAACTCAAGATTCACAAGTGCGGTAACGCCTTTTGAGCCCCCTCCTCCCAGAAACAGGGGGGCAGGGTTTAGGCGCGGTAACCTCAATCACACGGTAAAGAGTAAAGAAGTGAAGTTTTGAAGTGAAACTTCTTTAGAATCGTTGTGATTTGAAACTCATTTAGTGGGTTTGATTCCCGGGCCGGGCAAAATTTTATAGGGATCTTCTGAGAAAAAATCTAAACATATATTTTTTTTCGGAAGTTTCACTTCTATCGTGTGTAAATTGAACACACACACTTTTTTTACACTGGTTTCCTGTGAGGCTGTGTTATCACACCGGTCGAGCCTGACACAAATATGCCGAATCATGGCTCTCTTACGTATTTATGACATACTGGCTTTTACTTCGCAAGTTTTACAACGACACAGGCTAGTGACCTTATTTATACCTCTTTCAAATTAGCTTTCCTAATTCCTAAGCTAATTTGCAATTAGCACGACTTAGGTTTATGTAACATAGTCCCTGGCGCCTTCTCTTATCAGATTTATATTTTATTTTATTTTACAGTGTGTTTGTAAAGTCCATGCAAAATTTCAAGCGAATCGAACGTCTGTGACTAGTGAAAACTAAGTTAAAAATCTCTTATATAGACAGGTCAAATATATAAGAACACAACGTCCAGTAATCGAGACCCCGACGATTGATTATAATTTTTGTAGATAACAATCATGGTATAAATTTTACCGTAGTTTATGAGTATTGGATCTGGCACAATAAAACATGCACGTGACGTTCTTGTATTAGAGTATGCGCAATAATTTGTTAAACAGACCTCCATGATAGTAGTGACTCTATAATGCTGTTTTTCTAAGAACGACGACATGGATGTTCAATTCAATAAAATATTTAGAATTATTCATCTTTTTTCGAAGTAATATTCCGTGTAAAAGTAAATGAAATTACTTTTACCTGTCGCTTACATCTTTCCTGACTAAACTTCTTAATTGAGACGAGGCAAAGAAAAAAAAGATACTCTGGAGAAAAATACGGATATTTTAACGTCACCAAAAAAGATCAAATTTATTCCTTTAGTATTCGGAGATAATTATTTTTTGTAAGTGATTGATATCCGCAGAAATTAAAGTTGGAGAAACAGTATTAATAAATTTTTATTCTTATTTTACTCCAGCACTAGGAATATATCCTGAATGAAACGGACACAACGAACACCCAGACTCAGAAAGACAATTTATGGATCAAACAAATTTGATTTAAGAATATTACGATCGCTTGCAAAATATACTGCACAGATAGGAAAGTTTTGGTTTTGATAAATATAAAACAAATTACCAATAACACAATTTATATGATGTGGATGGTGGGATGACGTGTCATATAGTAATTCTACTTTACATACATTTTTTATGGAGATACGAGTATATCTAAGTTTTATAACACTCAGAATTAGACTTACACATACGTAGGAACGTGGTTGGATAATAAATCTGATTAGAGAAGCCGGCAGGGACTATGTTACATGAACCTTAAGCCGTGCTAATTGGAAATTAGCTTAGGAATTAGGAAAGCTAATTTGAAAGAGGTATAAAAAGGTCATTAGCCTGTGTCGTTGTAAAACTTGTAAAGTAAAAAGATAGTATGTCAGTATTTACACAACACGTATTTTTCCTACTAAGAGATACTACTTCAAAGTGTGTCAGTGAGGTCAGTTAGTAATGTATGTGTTAATTATAATAAAACACTTCCGACATCCGCAACGAAGGCGATTAAGTGCTTGATCGCCTGCGTTTTAATTAGTTTCACGGATGGTATAATGGCTTAAACGGTCACTTCGATAACTGCCGGTGTGCCTAATGCAGCTATAAGTTCGAGCCGAATGTAGGATAATTATTTGTGTGATTCACATTTGTTTCTGTGCCTGGATGTCCGTGTTTAGATATAATTCCGCCCATAGTTAACGAAAAATAAGTCATTGTTGAGCTTGTGTGACAAGAGTTGTGGTGACATGATTACTAACTATGGTAGAAGGTGCCAAATATTGACACTTACTTACTAATACAGAACTCATTTAAAAGAAACTTTAAAGAAAGCGTCAACAAATAACAATGAATGAAATGGCTGTGAAATTTAAAGTGTAGAGAATTCTGAGTGACTGGGGTAATTAAAAAAATACCGTGCGTTAGTAAAATGAATATTCATAAAACGGAACCATTTGCATGAGTAATTGATAGACGTAAAACATTACTGTGACAGTTTAATCGTACTAATTGAACAGGTCGACATTATCTCTGTAAGAAATGCATGAATGTTGAATGCCTGCATGGCGTTATATTCTACTTATCTCGGAATATACACTTAACTAAATATTTTTTTATTTTAATTGGAAGTAAAACTTGCAAATAAATCTAAAGCCGTTCTGTGAATGTTTTATTCGTTAATGGTCATCGGACGTATAGACATAGCCGGGACGTGTCTTAGCAACACTGTTAGAAGTGACGGGCTGGCTGACATCATCATCATCATCAGCCTATCGCAGTCCACTGCTGGCTTGGCTAACACACTTAAAATATAATTTTACTGTTTTTTTTACATGTACGGCACTCGATCTATAGGAAATTATCGTTGCATATGTCATGGGCGGCGAGTCTGCCCGTTTGCCCCCATAAAGCACCGTAAAAATAAGTACTCATTATTAGGTTAAATTAACTTCGTAAGTATTATTCAAATTTTCTAATACGTCAACAGTCGATGGGCCATTGCAGTGCTAGTATTTCATTTCAAAAGTCACAGTGGCGAAACAATTTTTTTGCCAAGTGGGTAGTATGAAAGCATCCATTGTGATACAGCAGAAAACAATGCAGATCGTACGCCCTATACCCATATGGAAATAAATATTAAGATAAACAGCTACGTGCAAAAAATAATCCTTTTGCGGTCTATATTCTAAGATGACCTCTTATGGGCGTGATAGCATGTTTGGCACATTGGGGACATAAAAATACTAATATGACTGGGAACATAACTTAGTATATTATATAAGACACATGCTGGTACTTACTGTCGGCTATTATCTTTCGTGCATCTGTGTTCGACGCGTGTGAACGACAACATAGGAGTGCATCGCATGACTAATCTACCCTCTTAACATTCACAGAGCGAGCTGAACTTTACCGATAACATGAATCGCATGCATTGCGGTACAAATGACAGGCCGCTGTAGTTGCGTTGCTGCTTATGAGAACTTCTATATTCATGACTATCTGAGGCACTATCAAACTGACGACGTGTGGTGCCTCCACTATTCAAACCTTAAGTAATAAAGAGCTTTATCTTAATAGATGATAAGACTTTTATATACAGTACGCAATTTCAGCTGATTTTATGCGAAGACCTTTGACCTGATTTTTGACCTAGATCAAACATTGAAAGTGATTTTTTTTATGACCTATAAAGCGCTGACCCCGTACGAACGACAACTTTGCCGCAACGTACCTATGCATACAAATATTAATAAATAAGAGCAACAGTAGGCATGCACCGCTCTTTAAATAACGACTTCCTTTTTAAACCTTGTTTTTTTATTATTTATATAACTAAAAGTAGTTTGGTCCAACAAAGATTATAAAATCTAAAGTAATTGAGCGTTGAATAAATCAGGATCAACAAACTTATTTGTGCTTTGTCCGTGAGTAATGAATAATATGATGAATTTCTAAAATAAATTGGTCACATGACAATAACACGCGTCACAAAAATAGCGAACTACAGAGTACTAGTCTAATCGAATTAAAATAATGTTCATTCGTACTCACATTTACGAAAAAAAGATATTCATTCACTATAGTAATAGTACCTTGACATATCTATTAAAATGTTTTGATAAATAAGAAACGATATCTATATCCAACACGCTCACACTTATCAGTAAATACACAATGTGCGAAAGAGATACTTGGTACTGAGCCATTGTTACTGCAACGCGTCATCGGCTGTTCGTACGATGTACGACGCGTGTTCTGTGCTGCCGCCATTTTGAGGGCAGTGTAGCGTTCGTCGAGACTGGAAACGACGCGTGTATCGTTGCGCATCGAAATCATGGAAACAGCATCAGTAGACGATTGGACGGAACAAAAATGCTTAAAGTTAATAAGAGAATACAGAAGAAAACCTATATTATGGGATCAAAAGAATCGGTACTATTTCAGAAGGGATATGAAAATGATCGCTTGGGAAGAAATTGGTCAAGCTATGAAAGTTTCTGCCGACAAATGCAAACATAAAATGATGATTGTTTTGATGTCGTCATTCAGAAGAGAAAAAGCAAGACTTGTGAAGAGTTTAAAGAATTTGTCAGGCGATAGTCGTAAAGGTACCACATATTTTTAATAGTACTGCTATTTATCATTAAAGTTACATTTAACTTGATCATTTGCTTACAGATTCATTCCGGCTATACAGAAGTGCATGGTTCGCTTTCGAAGATATGGCTTTTTTGTTGGATAAGGATTCCGAAAGAAAACGCCAAGAAAATGAAGTATGTATTATACATGTTAATGATAATTAAGATTTATTTTCGTTATATCCCAGTGTAATAATTTTGGATACCGCATAAAATTATTATGTACTTCCCGTTGGATCTCAAATATTGGATATGCAAGAGAATTACGTTTTTTTGTCGTTTTATCCCAAAATATTTCCGTTGGATCCCAAATTCTTAAAAGATGTGGATTCCAGTTTCAGATCGCATTTTACGCACTTTATGCAATGGTTACGTGTGTAAATAGACAGATGTAATGACAAAGAGAATAGCAATATCATATACCCTCTTTTTATTACAAACGATTTTGTTGCTGAAAGTACCCACATTCAGATTTATGTAAGCATTTTAGGGTCAACGGAAATATGTATTTGGGAATGAATACTAAATATTTATAATAATATTAAATCCATATGAGCTTACAAATGTATTTATTCCCTTTAGGACTCCGATGAAACAGACGAGAACGGTGAAGACACTTCTACTCGCGATCGCGATCTGTCATTGCTGCGTCAAGGTTTGAAACAATCTTATCGCCCAGCTAAAAAACCGAGGGTTAAGTCTGATAATAATGCGACAGAAGTAAGAGAACCTGATATCCTTCAACCACAAACGGAGGCCGGTCCTAGCCAAACGCCATCCGAAAGAGATGAGGAAATTGTATCTTTCACTACATTTATTGGTAACAAAATGAAGAAGTACTCCGACACGACCAAAAACGCCGTGCAACAAGCCATATGTGATATAATATTCAAAGCAGATCAAAATGCTTACGAAAGTAATTACTATAACAAATTGGCGATAATAGACGCGGTAGAGGATCCTCTAAGTGAGGAAACGTTTGAAGAATACGTTGAACAAAAACCTATAATTAAAATAAATTACTCTGACAGTGATTAGAGAGTGATTATTTTTAAAAAGGTATTGTTATTTGTAAACTCTAGTCTGTAATTAATGTATAAGGAGAAGTAAAGTTCAATTTTTTTAATTGTAATTTTTTCAAATTAAACAAAATATTTTATTTATATTTTTAGTTTAAGTAGTCAGACACAATGGTAAATGTTAGGCACATTTACCATTGTGTCTGACTACTGTTAATGCAATTAGTTACGACAGACGCCTACCTACTGCGTTTTCAGTTGGTTTGATTCCGATCATGGTGGTTAACACACACATTCATAGATCATCGACTCTTTTGCATGTATAATTACACGAATATCATAAACTATACTCGATTGTACGATCGTACTAAGCGGAAGCCCATTCCACGAAGTCCTAAGTTTTAGTTAGAACTAAACATGTTATTAAAAAAATATTGAAGTTTATTTCACTAGGGAAAAATATAAAAATAAATTAAAATATTTGGCTTGATATTACAAATATTTGAGATGATTGGGTGCCGTAGAGTCAAACAGTTTATCGCGCGTTACACGCTCTGAGCGGATGGGGGCTAGACCGAAAAATGTGTAACAAGACTTTTTTCCGACACATTTAGCTATAGTACGCTCGCACTTGCTTATATCTTTTAAACTACTACCAAACTTAGGCGGCGGTAGCCTAATGGACTTGCGATAAAGAGGTCGTAGGTTCGAATCCTGACCAGTACACTACCGACGTGAACCCACTGCTAACACAAACAATTTACCTTAGCGGGAGGTGTTAACGGGTATACTAGTAATTTTCTTTTTTTTTTTTGCTTTTTACTAGTTTCAAACCTGTTCTTTAGGCCCCCATCGGTGAGCATTAGCATTACAGCTTCCTTAGTTACTCCAATAAATATTTTTTTTATTATTATTACCTAAGACTTACCTAACCCCAATAAAATTCTTTATGAAAATATGAGATATAATATCATAAAGCGTCCTTTCGCTTCGTTCTTTGTTCGGTATTGCATAGTGAAATCTATCAGCAATGAAGGCAACTACAACCCTCTAACGTACCTTTTTTTTGCGCGTAGATACCCCCTTGGGCCGTCACCCCACCGGGGTTTACGGCGGGGTGGTGTGTCGGAATCGGAAAGTCTAAAACCACATGGTGTGCCACTCTGCGCCTGTAATAGGAGGGATCCGAGAACTGCTGCTATTAAGACATCCGGATCCCTCCCGCAATGGCGGGGTCACCACCTTCGGGTGCCTTCTCTATTCATTCAATAGAGAATGTACCCTCTAACGTACCTAGGTCGACTTAACAAGTAACTCTGTTTGTATTGTATTGTGGATTCCACACTACTGATCCGTACTCGAGTCGGAGTTTTCAGTTAATTAATATGAATTTTCACATATTTCTTTTTTAAAAGCAACTGCGGAACAACAATTCACGATCACACAAAGTGTCTCAGATGGGGGTCGAGCCCACAATATTCAAAGTAGGAAGTAGCGAGGTGACCATTTAAACCATTACGCCATTCGTGTCGTTTAAACTGTTAATTTTAATTAGAATAAGAACGCCAAGTCGACCGTTTTATGTAAAAATCACGGTTGAAATGTAATATTTCTTTTAACTAATAGACTTTATCTAGGGCGCTGCTGTCGCTTTGGACTTGCAGAATATTTAAAAATGGATGGAAACATACACTGTTTATAGCTATCTCCATAATATACGGATGAGACGCAATCGTTTGTCAGTCTGAAATGATCACAAGCTGAAAATATTGAGACGCCCGATTTTAAGAGACCGTATTAAGGTACCTGACTCTGTGTACAGTTTTTCGATTGATATAGAAAATGAATTTGTATTTTGTTGCTGCATATTAATCCCTAACCTTTATATTTAAAAAAATGTTTGAACAAACATAAAAGTTTTGTTAATTTCGGTCATTTCGTGGCATATATAGCATATATATCTATGAATGGCATTCACTGTAGATAAACATTCAAATTATCATAATTTGCATTAGGCTCTATCATTGTGGGGACACAGTATCCATATAAACATTACCTATGCCTACACAATTGCAGCATTCTATTTAAGAACATTATTCGATATTCAATGTTACGGTCATCCTATGAATAATATATCAATAATAAATATCTTGTGATCATCCACAATTGTAGTGATTAATTATAAAGTATAATGAATAAATACGCCATTTCAATAAAATTATAATAATTAAATAGATAATCTACCATTACCTGTATGACCGTATCCCATATTAGTGTGCACAAAAACATGATATAATAATATATACCTCTATTTATATTTTAAAATCTAAACCATCGTATACAATAGCAAGTTGTTTTCTGTTACATTTAATAAATAAATTCAGTTGGACTTGTTAATTTTTTAACTGTTAATATTCATACTAAGAGTTTTAAAGAGCCCAGAGCCTTAAAATAGTAATATTAACTTCTACTATTGCTCAATTATATCCCTTTTAAAAATTTACACTGACTCTGCCTCTTTTAAAGTTCTGTAGATAAGTCAGAAACAGTTAGAAAGTAGGTACTTAAAAGCGAATAAGGAAACGCATAAACAACCGAATGGGGTATGAGATGAAAACGATAGGAATAGTCAGAAAAGGGAATAAGATACTCCTGTGCGCATAAACGTTGATGTCCAAGAATTGGATAGGTATATTACAAAATTAAAATCTCAAAAACAAAACACTATCCTACTTTTTTTTTGAAGCAATGTTCTATTTAAATTAAATCATACATTATTTAAATCTTGTATCATCTGTACAAATTGCAAACACTTTTATGAAGCAAATTTCAGAGTAAACAATAAAAAAAGTTTTTACACTACAAAGTTTCTGAATAAAATTTAAAATGTATTTATTTTTGTAGATAACACAGCACCAGGCAATCAGTGATTGTATCTGAATGATAGAGTCAATCAATATTGATTGGTCTTATTGCAGTACGATACGATAAAGATACACACATGTACGCACATGTATGTGCACAGGCGTGTGACATTAACCAGTTTTCAAATATTTAAAAAACTACTAAAATCTTATTTTACTTCAATGGTTACTTAATATTTTTATTCTTAAAATTTGCCAGCTTATTAATCACACTGTATATAACTATATGTTTTATTTATTTACTTTAATTATAACGGTTTTACCAATTACACTATAAGACATGTATACATCAACACAAATGAAAGCAAAAATAAATAAAAAATCATCCCTTCTGCTCACACAATCAAACCGCAGTCGGGATTGACACGCAGGAGAGCGTTGAGTTCAGAAAGAGTATCAGGCGGTATGGGTGACATCAACTTCACCCATTTGCGCTATTAAACTTCTGAATATATCATACACCCCTTGGACTAATAACGCTAAACAAATCGAGTTATTACGCACTAAAGGATATGTAAATGAAATGTCTACAAATAACTAAGTCTATCGCAGAGCTGTTTAAACTAAAATACCTATTCCTGACCTAACTAAATACCTTATTGCAACAAACAAAATTAACAAAAGGTCTAGTAAACTATAAACCACACTAAACCTCAAAGCTTGCTTAAGGCAGATTGAGATTACGCATTTGTGGGCAATGTTAAATAAATAATATTTTTTATTTATTTCAGACTGAGTCCATACAATTATAATGAGAAACGTCCAAATAATGATGACATGAATCTCGTTTACTAAAATCCCATTTTGTGTGTAAGTCATAAAGTCAGTTAGCGTAGTGTGTATATCGTCTTATCCTCCTATTTTATTAAAGCTAATTAAAAGCTTTGGACACGGAAGACCTCGTTTTATTTCATTTCATTACCTGACATTGTAAGCGTCCATTAATTATGGACATAAGTGGGGACCGGCCTACTCGTACCGCCACCTGAGTACCTATTTACTCGTATTATGAAAAATCTTCATTTATAATTAAATGCAGGTTCATTTGTTAAATCCATGTTAATTTGGATTTGAATCAGCAGAATGCAGTGGATATTACACAGCTATATGCCGCCTATACATCTGTAATAGTGTTCTTTTTTATATCGAGTTACAAAAGAATGATTGATATAAAGATGGTGGATGCATGGAAAAACAGACCGCAAGTTTTTGTGGTGATCGGTAAACGGCTGTTTACTTTTGTTTATAGGCATATTTTTTTTCTAAGAATATTCATCATCCTATTACCGTTCACTGCATAACGATCTCTCTCACTGAGCGCCAACCATTCCGGTCTTGGGCAATCCGCATTCATCCGCCGCCAGCCATTTTCTTTAAGTCGTCGGTCCATCGGGCCGTAGGGCGCCCTACCCTACGACTATTTGACTAATCGCGGTCTCCACTCTAGCACATATCGGTCCTAACGATCATCAGTCCGCCTGGAGCCTTGACCGGCCTACTTCCATTACAGCGCACTGATTCTCTGTGCGATGTCGGTTACTCTAGTTCTCCGTAGAATAGTTTTGTTTCGAATACATCTGTCCTCTGCTGAACATGGGCCTCTTCCATTGCACTCGCGGTCTCCACTCTAGCACATGTTGGTTCCAGCGACCAAAGATAATATATATATTCTCTGAATGATATACTGATTAAATATAAATTCTTATAAAAATAATAAGTTTATATGATATGTCTATCGGTAGGTAATATTGACTGTAATTTTATTTTTGATTTTGTGCATTTATCACCATTTATATGCGTATTATTCTGGACTTTATTAAGAAGAAAAGGTAGTCTGGACTTTATTAAGAAGAAGAAAAGGTAGTTTATCACTGTATGGTAGACGAGGATTCTGTGAAGCTCCGACTTGTCTTTGTTTAATGTGTTTATAATAAATAAATAAGTCAGTGATTAAGCCATTTATGACTTTGAAATTATGTGACAAAAACTCGGCCAACGTTTTCCCTAGAGAATCCAGTACAGAGATTTAGCAACATCTTAGCGTCAACTAAGTGCGAATGTCAAATGGCCAACAGTCGCTTACATACATATTAGGCTTGTAGATCAAAGCAAATAATACATATATAAATAATATTGAAATCATATTGCACGATCGATGCGATTAGTACCCGATTCACACTAGCTGTTTATATAGCAGTACCTTTTAGTTTGCTTCCTTCAATGTATAAAAATATAATATAGGTAAAACGTCATTTACACTATTACAGTTTTATATGTTACAGTTAAAAGTAATTTCGAATGAAATCAAATCTATCCAAGTCAAGTCAGTTCTTTTGGATACTTAAGAATTTCGACTGCAACTTAAACAAATCATTGTGGGAGTTCACACACGCGATTAAATGATGTATGGGTCGTGTTCTTATTTTACCAACTTTGTAGCTTTAACGAGTGAACCGTGTTGTGCAGTAACCATTCAATTCATAAACAGGTCCAATAAATAATGTCATCTAACTGTTATCTGTATTCATATTACGAAAGTCATCTAAGTAGTTTTAATGAAAAAAGGACTTCTAATCATTTTAATAAAAGGTTTCTGGACATTAATCCTTAAATTTTGGCTAGTTTGTGAATTGGGTAATTTCTGCACATACGGTCTAAAAATAAAAATGAAGAAAATATATAATATAATATTCTATCACATTGACACAATATCTAGTCTCTAACTAAGTAGAGCTTGTACTATTGTTATTAATTCCATATTTAATTACAATAGCGTTAAAAACATTCAGAATATATCCATTCATAAATTAATCATTATTTCATTTTAAACTTTTCATTTATCATAAATTGACTTTACAAAAGAACGCCATCACCATAATACCTACGACCCGTTTTAACTCGATGAATATTTAAGAGAAACTCTGGTTTTCTTGTCATCCCTGTAGAAGTATAAATAAGTATAATAATATATATTCACGATACTCAATAGCCTGTATGTTTCTGTGGCCCTTTTGTTGATAGTTACGGAAGTAGAACATCGTATCGAAAGTCCTGTAGCAAACCATTTCAGAGCGTTCTGCCTCCCCTCATTACTTAGCCCCGCATTCAAGTTACGCGGGTCATTAAACAATTTCAATGGGACTCTGAAACGCGGTTTCTCACAGTTCTAATGTGTCTGGATGGAGCCGAATTGTGACTTTATAACATTGATAAGTTTTAACGTACTAATGCCCACATAAACATCTTTATTGGGACGGCTAGGTAAAACAAAAGCTAATCTGTCTTTAATCTATTCGTATAAACATTATTTAAAATATTTTACCGCAATTTTTTTGGCTTATTTTGTCTTCGTGTATTACATTTTATGCGCCAAAATACTTTTATATTTGTCTTACCTTATTACAGCAAGAATATGGTAAAAAATCTGTATTGCAATTAAAAGTGTTAATTTATTCGACATGTGTCGAGCATGTTCGACTAAACCATTGTGAAACGCGTGCTCCACTCAACAATCTTTCGCCAACGACTGTGACTGTGTGTTGCATCAGCAACGCATAAGTATATTATGTAAATTAACTAAATTTATTAAAAGACACGAAATTTGATATTATAAAGATAACCATCTACACAATGTAGACAAATTCTCTGAAGTACGGTGTCTAATATATAAAAAACCTGGTCAAGTGCTAGTTGAACTCGCTTGGATACGGTTCCGTACGATGAATTGCAAATTCAAGTTCGAACGCTCAATATTGAGAGATTTACAACGTTATTTTAAAACCATAGAATTTTCAACGGAAAAGAAGTATTTACTATATTTGTTTCTTAAATACTATGTATAATCAGCACATGTTCTTTATAAAAATCGTTATCAATCAAACCAATGATTTGTTTTTGATGGACCAAAAACATTAATTTCTTTAAAGACAATTGCCGCCTGCCTGCTGAACTTACAAAAAGACATGGAAAATGGCGCATGGCCTTGACAGTTAGCCTAAAGGGAGCGGATAAGGAAAGGAATGTAACACAGATTTTTTGTATTTTCCTGTGAGTGACGTCATCGCGATTTGTGATGTTATACGAAATGTTGCGACAATATATCTCAGTTACAGTTTTCAGTTCATACTTTAGTATATTACGTATAGGTAAACACTGCCTAAATACTATTAAATTAATCACATAGAAGAAAAAAAGAAAATAACAGCCAATCAACCAAATTAAATTCTACTAAGAGAATTTTTATTAGTATACATTAAATGTAAAATTTGTACAAAAATTCTCAATTTAATGATCACTTGTAACTGTTTAAACGTTCACTGTTAAAATATTTGTGTTCTTTGTAAAGGAAGCAAGATCAACTTTTTAGCAAGCAAGATTTTAAAATATTCAGGGTTTACGCTCCGGAAGCAACCCAGACAAAACGCCGTGCTTATTAGGACGTTTTAAATAAGAGTGTACCAACGCAGCCTTTACTATAAACTGTATTTTCTATGTATAGAACTTTCACCAACTTCATGAAAAGTTAGACTAAAGGATATTTAATTCCCCAGAAATTGAAATAAAGTTAAGACTATACAGTTTAATAGGTACATATATACAGTTTATTTCATTTTTGATACGAAAACTTTACTGTCTTTTTCATTCTACAAAGGGCACCGAAATTCCAAGGTTGGGTATTTAAGTCGATTACATAAAAAGTGTTTCAAAGTAGATTTCTATGGCTTGTTGAGACGTTTTATAAATGCAAATATTACGCGCGGTACCATAGCTATGACACAAAATATCACTTAAAATTTTCTGACTTAATCCTCATAATAAAAAGCACTTCGAAACTTTTTTACTTTATTATAAACAATAAATAATTCTCACAATAGTCTTTTGTATGTGCCATGCGTAAAGAGTACATTTAGACAAAATTCATTTTTAATACGCGCGAGTAGACAATATAATAAAATTTCTCAATATAAAAAAGACCTAATACTAAACTTCTAAACTTAAAAACATTTTAGCTAGGTTTTTTTTGATTGACTACGGGTGCTGGTTTTGTCTTTGTTTACTAACTTCCAATTTAATGTTATGCGTGCATTTCAAATCGCGGATATTTGTAAATGGCCATCAGATATTCATGTATTAAGTTTTTAAAATGCTAGCTGTAACTATCCCAAACAAAGAAAAAAAAAATTAATAAAAGAAGGCAGAATCTGTGTATGGTAAAGAAGCTCTCTTTTTTCATTCTTCTAATAAACCAATTGACTATAGTTATTTTCATAACACGAGACCCTATTGAATCGTAATTGACTATTACTATAGCGAAATAAGACCAATTAGGAGCTAATGAAGAGAATTACCTCGACACAGAAAATACCTTCCTTTAAATGTTAAAGTCATCCGCGTAATGTTTCTACAGGTAGTTCTATCTCCCCAAACATCTACAACAATCCAGTTACCGACAGGACACGCCCAGGCTTGAAGACATGTTCACGATCTACATTACACGCACAAACGACCCTTTCGTAAAGGTCACGAAGTAAACGAGTAATGAAAACTGTCTTGAGTTTTAACAAATGTAGCTTATCGTGACATCAAATAACCTACGCATCACAACCTCAAAACGTCGACAATTGGCTTAAGAAACGAGAATTTGAAGACAAAGGGAATCACTGTTTCTTTTTTTATAATAGATTGTGTTAACAATTGAATAGTTGTCTGGACTAGTATCATAAAGACATACAAAAGTGTCTCCAAATAATCGCAATTAAGTAGGGGCCAAAGCTTTGCATATTTTTATGTGGTAAAGTAAGCAATAAACGTGAAAGAAATTTGTCAATGACAATTTTTTTACATTGGTATACAGGTTTTACTTTTTTATGTAATTTTAGGTTTTACTTAACATAAACTACTAAATACATAATATATGTATGTATATATATAACTAATAAATAAGTCACATGACAATAACACGCGTTACTAAAATAGCGAACTACAGAGTACTACTCTTATCGAATCAAAAAGAATATCTATATCCAACACGCTCACACTTATCAGTAAATACAGAATGTGTGAAAAAGACAAAATGTGCGAAAGAGACATTGTTACTGCAACGCGTCAACGGCTGCTCGCACGATGTCCGACCGCGTGTTTCGTTCAGTTGCCGTGCCGCCATTTTGAGGGCAGTGTAGCGTTCGTCCGAACTTGAAACGACGCGTGTATTGTTGCGCATCGAAATCATGGCATCAGTATTAGAAGACGGTTGGACGGAAAAAAACAGCTTGGAGTTAATAAGAGAATATAAAAAAAAACCTTTATTATGGGATAAAAAGAATCGGTACTTTTACAATACGAATATGAAACGGACCGCTTGGGAAGAAATCGGCGAAGCTATGAAGATTTCTGCCGACCAATGCAAGCATAAAATACATTATTTGGTGTCGTATTTTAGAAAAGAAAATGATAAAATTCTGAAAAGTTTAAAGAATTTGACAGGCGATAGGCGTATAGGTAGCACATATTTTTAATAGTATTTTTAGATTTATTATTTATCATTAAAGTTACATTTAACATGTTCATTTTCTTACAGTTTCATCGCGACCATACAGAAGTAGATGGTTCGCTTTCGAAGAAATGACTTTTTTATTGGACACGGGTGCCGAAAGAAAACGTCAACAAAATGAAGTATGTATATACATATTCATGATAATAAACATTTATTTTCGACATTTATTTTTACTACAAAACATTATTATGTATTCCAGTTAGATCTCAAATTTTAGAATTGCGTTTTACTATCATTAACTCCCAAATGTTTAAATAAATTTGAGATCAATTTACTTCCAACAACCTAATTGTTTATAACAAAATGAGGGTACATTTGATATTGGTGTATATATATATTTCTGTTCTCTTTGTCATTACGTCTATCCATTGCACATACAAGCCTAACCATTGCACAAAGTGTATAAAATTATTAGTTTGCAGTGACTGTAGTTATTTTGAGTACAATTTAATAGAATCACAAAATACTAAGAGTGGTCAACTTCCATCTACTTCTTTACCAATGTCTTGTTTTTGTTTGTCTAATTACAATTTTTATGTTTGATGGAGGTATATTAATTTTCTTTTTAAAAATACACATGTTGTAACTACTGTTACTGTTGGGATTCAATGGAAATAGCAAATCGTTAGTACTTAAAATGGGATCTAAAACTGAGAACCAAAAAATAAATCATAATAAATTTTCATGATAATATTCAATTCATAGGAACTTTTAATTGTATCTATTCCCTTTAGTACTCGAATGAAACAGACGAGAACAGTGAAGACACTTCCACTATCAAACTGTCATTGCAACGCCAACGTTTGAAACAATCTTATCGCCCAGCTAAGAAAGTTAGGGTTATGTCTGGTAATAACCAGACAAAAGTTAGTGAACGTGAAACGGAAGCCGGTCCTAGTCAAACGCCATCCGAAAGAGATGAGGAAATTGTATCTTTCACTACATTTATTAGTAACAAAATGAAGAAGTACTCCGACACGACCAAAAACGCCGTGCAACAAGCCATATGTGATATAATATTCAAAGCAGATCAAAATGCTTACGAAAGTAATTACTATAACAAATTGTCGATAATAGACGCGGTAGAGGATCCTCTAAGTGAGGAAACGTTTGAAGAATACGTTGAACAAAAACCTATAATTAAAATAAATTACTCTGACAGTGATTAGAGACTATTTTTAAAAAAGGTGATGTTATTTGTAAACTCTAGTCCGTAATTTATGTATAAAGAGAAATAAAGTTCTTTTTTTAGATGTTGTTCTTCTTCTTTTTCTTAAATTAAAAAAATATATATTTATAACACGCTTTTATTAGCTTGATACGAGTATATACTCGTATGTAATGAAATCTTCGAACGTGATTTTGACCAACTTCAAAACGTCGAATTAAATGGAAACTTCGCACACCTCAAGGACCGATGACAGTATAATAATCTGATAAATTAGGCCGATTATCCTCATCGGGATCTTCAGGATTAACGGCTTTTCCATACCTAAAAATTAGTGTTGCAAAGAACTCGTGTATTTTTTTGGTAAAAGGGGACGAACGAGCAAACGGGTCACTTGCTGGTAAGCAACTACCTCCGCCCATGGACACCTGCAACTCAAAAGTCACAAGTGCGTTGCTGCCCTTGGAGTCCCTCCCGCTCGAGTCAGCGGGAGGGTGGACTTGGGCTCCGATAACCTCACTCACTCAGTGAAAGGCAACAAAAGAATTGCTTAACACCGGTTTTCTGTGAGGCCTTGGTCTTCGATTCCTATATGTATAAACGGACTCAGATGATGAATTACAAGACTCGGCTCATTACAACAGTATTCCAAGACTAGAGAACTAAATTCTCTACGAGCTCTTGAATATGACATGGGAGCTCGAGTCTCTTTGTGCGGCGAGTCGCACTCAAATCCTCTTCATGTATGAGTCCAGCAATTAAATTTTTACATATATAGAACGGGGAGAGTTGGAGAAAGACGAACAATATTGATTAAGGATATTTTTAATAATTTATAAACATCACAAAAAGTGAGTAATTTTTAATTAAAGTCCAAAAGTTAAGCAAAAAAAGCAATATCCTAACTGATACTAGCGTTTACTCAAATATCTAAAACTCAGAGCGTAGTATCTCAGGTTTTAAAGCCAGTTTACCTTCATATTAATATATCTAAGATAACAGCCAACACATATTAAAATGTTGACTCGGTGACAATCTTTCTAACCGATATAACCGCATCAATCGTCGATTTCTCCAACGTAAATCTAAATAGTATATCATGAAATTTGATTAAAAAGGTGTATGCCCATTTACTTCATTTTGTCTCCCACTTTGCTAAGGATCCCTCCTTGGATTTATTATATTTCCAATTTCTCGAACTTTCTTCTGATTAATTTCGTTGCGGGATATATACCTATATATTAGCATAGATTATTACACTCCGACATAGAAGAAATCGTGCACGTCATATAATGACTTGTCTTGGGTGGGTATGGATTTCACTACCTCTGTCTCATCACTCAGATTACTAACTACGAGGCCGACAGACCAGTCAGTAGGAATATATCACAAACGAAAACAAAAGACACACAGACTCAGAACAATTTGAGGATCGCACAAAGTATTGCCCCATGTGGGGGTTGAACCCGCCACATTCAACGCAGTAGAAAACAACGAGGTGACCGTTTAAAGAACGACGCCATCCGCGACTAAACTGCTAATTGTAGTTGGAATAAGAACGCCAAGTTGTTTTTTTGGCAGAACTAACTAACGATACTAAAAAAATGTGTTCGTATGTGTAATGAATGACCAAGATAAACATTAGCAATCGCATAATTCACAATTACATGATGTCTTAATATGGCAACACTAATGCCAGATGTCAAGTTTAATAATGCTATAATTTGTCGTTATTATTTTACGACACTGAATCAAGGGCGGAGTACTGTTGGTCATCTATCATAATTTATGAATTATGACTCAGCACAACAATACACAAATTGTTTCTATAATGTTGGACCGTAAGCAATGACTATTGTCTTATTGGTCATAAGCGAAGTGTGGAGTTGTCCAACGATACATTTATTCATCGATAAGTCATCATTGATGATTCAGTTAATCTTAGTTTCGATAAAGTAACTCATAAACAAGGAGGTGCTGGTTGTAGATTACCCAAGTAAATTTAAAAACATCTGACTAAAACCTTTATACTGGCGGCTACTAAAGAGGAAAGTAATTGTTACCAGGGTATTGGGACCTTTGGGCTGCTGTTTCTCCGTATTTCACTTCTTTAAAACCTTCTCCCCACTTCACTCCTTCTATTTTGTTTAGGAATAAGCATAGCACCATTCAGCAACCGATGTTGCAGTGGTCCCTGTAGCGTAAGGAAAGACACTTCTAAAAGTTAAACCATTAAGCCATAAGACATATCAACTGAACATCATATGTATTTATGTTTGGTAAATGAAAACGGCTTATTCACTACTTGCCGCTTAGATTATTAGAAATTCGGATTCAACCAGTGATGAATTGAGGTCCAAGTGGGATTACGTTAACGAGCTCATAATAGGATAACGTACGTCGATGTGTTCCAGTTTAGACGGTGCCCCGTTACCAGTCAACCCACACCCGTCGGCAGTCTGTGACAATATAATGATTGTGTATTTATCGGTACATGTAAGTGCTATGCAGTCTATTTGAACCTGTCAGTCTGTCTAAGTCTCAGTTTACGAGGTAAATGATGCTATTATGAGTATGACTAAGATGACAAACAACATTACGGATCACTTGACGGAAAACGATCATCATAACTTGTAAATGCTTGCAACCCCACGTGCGTATCGATAATTCATAGCACATCGAATAATTTTTAGTTCCAGATTACGGACAAAAGCGTTACTAAGAAGTTCTTTTTTAAGCCAGAAGCAAATCCGGAACCAGAAAAAGCACAAGTTAGTAACTTGTTTGAATGCAGTACCTTTTGAAACCAGCTAAAAGACGTTTCGCGAATAAACTGAATGTGTCGATTGCAGAATAGCATGAAACACCATTTCTGTCAACCTAGCCATATGTAACTGCGGTTGTTAATAATAAATATGCATGTGACTCCAAAATGGAAAAAAAATTATTTGTAAACTTTATTGCTAAAAAACATACCTATACAAATATTTTTAAAATTCATCATTTTCACCTATGCTGATGACACGGCAGTCCTTATTTGGGGGCCTGACTGGGCTGCCACGCGAGAGATAGCTGAAAATTCCCTAGCCCTGATCATGAATTGGCTCACTGGTAATCTCCTTACACTAAACTTAACTAAAACGCTGTATGTTCCATTTACAATGAGAAAAACAAACGCTCCTCCTTGCAACTTCAATATAAAAGCACACACATGCCTTTCTAAAGTCAATTGTACATGCCAACAACTTACAAGAGCAGAAAGTGCAAAATATCTTGGTGTTCACATAGACTCTCGTCTGAAATGGGACACTCATATTACTATGGTGACAACACGATTGCGACGTCTCATACATATTTTTAAAACCCTGAGAGGTGCCGCTACAATAGACAAGATAAAACTAGTCTACAAGGCTTTATGCGAATCCATGGTTCTTTACTGTATCACAGTTTGGGGAGGAACCGCTAAAACCCATTTACTCAGTCTGGAGAGGGCACAAAGAGCAGTTCTAAAGGTCATGACCAAAAAACCCTACAGGTACCCAACACATTTACTGTACTTAAACTGCAACGTCCTAACAGTGCGACAGCTCTTTGTGCTAAAATCCATTCTGAGAAAGCACAGAAATGTACCCCCTCCAAACCCAAAGCGACGAAGATTTATGTTGGTATGTCCTAGGGTCTATTTCAAAACCGCCTTAGCCAGTCGTCAATCTGTTAGTATTACATGTAAACTTTATAACCACATAAACAGAGAAGTAGATATTGTAGGTCTCAGAAGACACCAACTTAAAAATAAAATTACAAACTGGCTTCAGAAGCTAAATTATCAAGAAACAGAAAATTTACTGCAAACAATTAAATAATTTATTTCATTCTACTCTCTTGTGATACTGGAACTGGAACTGGGTATCTTCGCGTTTTCACACTCGACTCGCACACACGATAACACACAAACACACACACACACATACACACTTACACACACTCACACACACATCTTCACGTCCTTACGCTACACAGTTTTTATTATACCTATTTTTTTTTTATTGTTATGTATCTGTACTCGTATTGCAAGTGCCCTATATTTCACTTTAGCGTAATCTTACATGTAAATTTTCCTGCGGCTGGATATTGTCATCCAAAATACAGGCCTCGCCTAGTTTGGTAGACAGCATTTAGTACCGTCAGTGTCATAGATTTTGTACTATTGTGATATTGTACCTCAACAGTGAGTGTAATTTTAAATGCAATAAAGATTATTATTATTATTATTATCTTAATTTAATAGTGAAATTAATCATCAAAAAGTGGCTTTTTTAAAATTCTCTCCCAAATTTCTAAATCGCAACGCTATTGGCGGAACAAAATGTGACGACAATTTTCACTCGACGTCTTCATCTGTCAACAAGTTGTTTGTACGGTTTCTGGTGATTATTATTTTGTTTCGCGGTTGTTTCATATTACGTTATTAGTTTTCTGTGTTAAAGTATTAAATCATTGTGAATAAAGACTTAACACAATGACTGAAACCGGTTTTGTCAAAGCACAATCAGATGACCATCCTAAAATAGACGTATTTATGATGATCATAAATTGTTTAATACATATAATCTTCTGTATTCTTTTCAATCTGTAACCCACAAATAAAATTAGAAAGGTAAAGCAAAATAGTTTAGTTACTACTACTAATAGTTTAGTTAAATTCTCACTTACTCTTAATGAGTTAGGTAGGTATACGTTTTCATTCACAGGTAAGCATAACTTATTGATAAATACCAATATATTAGATATTGAGAATATAGTTATTTTAAGTACTATGTTTTGTAGCTTATTATACACATACATGCTTATTTAACAACATAGTCATAAAATGTGTCGTGAAAGAATAAAATTAATAAATAAATAAATCTTTAAGAACTTTTCGTAAACTAGGTTGTTTTGATGAAAATTTGTTAAAAAAAATGTACACTAAGTAAAAATGATCTTCAGAACAGTATAAAA